CCCACGTTTATTTTCAAACTACAACCGTTATTTCCCAGTCTTCTTTGCAAAGTTGCTCAAGAATAGACAGATTGGAAAACGATTGTCAATTGGATCTTGTACTTCACAGTCATCAAAGTACTTTAAGTCGGAGTCACATTGGCACATTATGTCAGTTTGTGACATAAAATCGTCTTAAAATACGTAAAAAACGTGGAAAAAGTTTAAGCTGTTGGAATGCTCTTGCTAAACTTACAGTCAGAGTAAAGTTCGCTGAAGAAACGCTCATAATTGCTGTAGTACAGATCTGTGTAGCGCCTGAACAGCGTGGATGGAGACCTCTCAGACATGGCGGCACACTCCTCGTGGGAGGGTTGGTGCAAAAACTCGTACACATAGTACTGGTCACCTGGATGAAACCACAGCATAAAAATGGTCAAGCATCTAAGAAGCTTCTAATCACCTTTAAAACAGAAGAAAATACCAAAGATACAACAGTAAGATCTGGAAAAATACCTTTGAAGAAGTAAACTTTCTCTTTTCCATGGTGGCTGTGAGCAGGAAGGGCAAACGCTGCATCCACGTGGTCAGGAATCTTGTCAAAGCCAACGCTGATGTCCCGCGGATAATCGTCCTCCAGGACACCGTCATCAAACCTCCAGTACTTGTTTCCCTGATGACCGTTTTAATCAGCACAAACATTAGAAACCAGAGGATGATAAGAATTTACCAGTTGATGTCTCCTCGCTGTCACCTTAAACATGTAGGTCTTCCCCTGACAGTTGATGCGAGTGAATGCAGCGTCGATTGGCCCGCTGATGCCCCACACATCTTTTATCAGCTTTGGGTAACCGGGAAGAACCGACTTCTGGTCCATCTCAAAGAAGTACTCCCCTGGAAAGCAGAAAGCTCACAATCACAACCAAGCCAGAGCGATGGTGATTCGATGGATGTTGTTGGAGTTGAAGACAAAGCACCTCTGAAGGCGTAGATGGAGCCATTTTTAAGCTGCATGAAGGAGTCAAAAGGCCTCCCACTGCAGACCTGAGCGTCCGGGTCAGGAGCTGCTGTGGTGACGCCAACAGTGGTGGTGGCCGCTGTGGTAGCTGCTGTGGTTTTGGGAGCAGTGGTGGTGGCTGAAGGAGCCTGAGGAGCTCCAGTCGTGGCAGCGAGCTCACTTTCAGGAGTCAGTCTTTGATTCACCAGCCGTGGAGGTTTTGTCATTTTCAGATTGGTCTCTGGAGGTCGATGCGTTCTTCGGTTGAAGTCTGAGACGGGAGGCTGGGTGGACGCAACATCGGCGAGACCTTTTGGGGTTGGAGTGGTGCTTCCAAACAAATCATCATCGTCCTCTGCAAACACAAACGTGTCGCCACGAGCTGAGGGGACACGAGGAATGTTAACAGCAGAGCTTATGTGGGGATTTTGAGCAGAGACGGTATAAAATATGCAGGGTATTGTTTGGAGCGAATGGGAGGTGGGGGGTTCTTACTCGTCATGCCACAGACGACCTCATAGTCAGAGCAGCAGCTTTTGTAATACTTGCACATGGAGTCACACTGGCACGTCCTCTGAGCCTGAAAGCCGTTTTCACATCGGTCCAGACAGGACTCTTTGGATAAAACGACGCACTTCGTTCAGTTTGTCTCTCTGAGCTGATTCTGGTCGTTAGCGACTCTCCCAGACAAATTCATTTCCTCTGGTTCTTGATTAGATTTTATTTGATTGTAGTTCCCATGGGACTTTGACAGAACAGCACGAGGCAAAAGAAATCAAGTTTTCCCAATTATACCGAGATGAACCGTGATTAGTTGGATGCTCCTTCGTTAATTAATTACTCGTGGGGAGGTCAGTTCTTGGAACAATCAAAGTACAGGATTGTAGGATTGCATTCAGGCAACATTGTGAGACGCATTGCAGCTATTCGATTTATTTTAGTCAAACTGTTATTCATGGCAAAAACTCTATGGGCAAATTATTGGCTTTCTGGATGCCAGGCACAAACTTCAGTGTTTTTTGATGGTTAAAGTGATAGATTAATATTAAATAAGTGAATCGTTAAGTGGAATAAAAAGGATTTGTTGTTTTGACAACCTGAAAAGTGTTTTGTGCATTTGTTTTCAGTTTCCTTTACTCTGGTTCCACTGAATAAAATCCAGTGCAACCAGCTGCCTTCAGAAGTTTAAGATTTTATGGCTCTAATGGCCTTTGATGATGGTGACCAAACAGAAAATGGGACAAAGAGAAGGGGAAACATTCAGCAAATGTCTAAGATCAGGAATCAAAAACTGGACAGCTGTGTCAAGGACTTTTCACCTCATAAACTGTATCTGCACAACACACCACCCCAATCTGTATGTGATTTAACAGACATTAGTGAACAAACAGCACAGAAATAAAGGTATGAAGAAGTTTAAAGTTTATAAAACAGACTCCAGACTTTGAAGCATCTTACAGAGAACTGTTCAATCGATCACCTGAAAATAAAAAGAGTGCAGCACAGCAGTGAAGCTACAAAACCAATAAATAATCTTTATCTGAAGTAACAGGAGAGGCAATGAGAGCAATACTCAAAATTATGAACTTGTATCCTGAATTGAATGTAAAACGGTGTGATGGAAAACTGACACGGTGAATCCCATAAGTGACATAATGAAACATGGTGGTGGCAGCATCATGCTGTGTATGGATGCTTGTATGTGTGATGGATGTGAAATTGTGGCGGTATTTCACCTTCAAACAGAGCAAGAGCTTCCAGTAAAGCAGCCAGAGCACCAACACGGTGGTAAAGACCAAAACATATTGATGTGTTAGAATGGATCAGTGAAAGTCCAGATTTAAATACTGCAGAGAATCTGTGGCAGGACTTGAAAATGAATGTCTACAGAAGCTCTTCATGCAGTCTGACCGAGTTAGTGTTTTAAAAAGAAGAATTTTAGTTTCTAAACACCCCCAAACCCTTACAGCTGCTACAGCGCCAGGTGGTTCTACCAAATATACACTCTGCATGGTTGAAGACAAATGCAGGCCACACTTTTCAGTTTTATTTTATTTTTTTTATCATTGAAACATTCTGAAAAACACATTTCATTTACACCTTCTTTTACAGTTATGTACTGCTTTTACTTGGTATTTCATAGAAAATTTATTTGACCAAATTAAAGTGAAAAATTTGAAAAAAAAAAAAAATCAAGTCATGAATAAAGCTGCTAAGTTATTTTACTGCAGTTTTTTTTATCAGGCAAATTGTTATCTAATGCAAGATCAATGTGAGATGATTACTTGTTATTTTACTTCTTAATATAAGATCTATTTCTCTTTCTACTGATATCTTTAAATAATTGACACTGATCTCGACAAATTATTCCCTATTTAAACGTTTATTAATTTACCTTTAGAGTTATGCCATGTATGGATTTAAAAAGCCGGCTTCTGACCAGATCAAAGTTAATTAATTAGTCCATCAAGTTCAGAATAAACAGAATAATTCCAAAAATATTTTCCGTTTCACTACCAGGACAAGCAAAACGTTAGTGACAACAGCAGCAAAAGAGTTTGACCCTGAAAATAACAAATCTTATAGGCTAATTAAGGTGAAAAAGAAGTTGTTTCTGAAATGGAAAATACTTTTAGCTTGATTTTTACTGCATCACTCACCGGTGAAGATCTCCTCAGCGAAGGCCTTGGCGCTCAGCGAGAGCAGGAGGATCAAACACAACTTCATGCTGCCTCTGTTCTGCCAGCAGACAGACTGAGGAGGTAATGATAAACCATGCGCTCCGGTTATTGGAAACATGTGTCAGTCACCCCTCTTCCCTCTGTTTACTTTAACCTCGTTTGCTCACAAGCAACCAAGCCTGGACGGGAAAAGAAAGGAATCAATAAAGAACAAAACGTTGGATAAATCTGACCCTCTGCCTCTGTTGCCTGGTGGGAAGTTGGGAGACACATTTCTGACACAATATCAAGTCATTTTATATCTGTAACCCTTCAAGAAATTCAATGCATTTGCCCTCAGAAGTTATGATTTGAAGTTAACAAATAAAGTCTACCTATGAGAAATATAATCTCTGCATAAATCCATCTGGTCATTTGAAGGCCTCAGAAGTTTAAGGAACATTACTTTTCACAAATTCACTTTTTTTGATATATAGAGTAAATGGAGGCAGTTAAACCAAATCAGTGGACATGTTGTTTATTTGACATATTTTACTGTAGATCATGATTAGAGGATGGCTGAGTTTGTCATTTAAGGCTCTCTGGGGAACTAATTAAGGTTTTTTGCACCTCTCTGTTTAAACAGGAAACTTAATTCAATAGAGCTGTCACAAATGACAAAATGCAAAACCAAACAACTTTGTTATTAATACTGAGTAAAAATGTTGGCTTTTCTCAACCTCTGAAATTTAACGCCTGTCTGAGCACAATGTCATGGCTGTAGAAGGGAAAACAAAAAACGAAAGGTCCAAGCATTCAGTCAGAAAACTGGAAACAATGTGGTTGAAACAAGGATATTGACAACAATAGAAATGGAGAACATATTCCTCAAATACAGGAAACATAGCTTTGGACTAAACTGTATGAAAGAAAGTTGATTTAGTGATCTACACTAAGCATATTTAAAATCTAAATCCTAAAAGAAATTACAAAGACAATAACTTATTTACTGGGTAACTGAATTTAGATCATATTTATTAATGAATTTTATATCTGGAATTGGCAATTGGAATAAAAGTAATTCAAGCAATTCTCTACATGACATGAAGTCATATGTGAATATAGGAAAAAATTAGAATAGAAATGCCCTTTGTAATAATAATAAAAAAAATATTCCGTGTGTTTTATTATAATCGTTAATTTAAGTTACTAATTACTTTAAGCTAAATTTAACTGAATTTATTCCTTAGTTTTCTTCAGTTTCTTACGCTTAGATGTTTTTCTCTGTTCCCCCAGCAGGGGGCCTGCAGTGTTTACAGCACAGGGGACTCCGTTCGCTGTGCGCATGCTCTGACCGACTATATTGAAGGTGGAAGAGAGGAGGATGGAGACCCAGCGGCCGAGCGTTTATTTACCCCAACCTCTCGGTAGAGTGACGGTCTAAAATTAATTGAATGATGCGAATCGTGTTGAATTACTCTAAAGAAGCGTTGTTGTTGATAATTGCGCTCCATTAGGCCTTTACAGGGCCCTGGTTGCTGTGGAAACGAGGACTATGACAGCTACAATCATCCTTTGTCTCCACTGAATGAGGAAACACACAACAGTTCTTTCTTCGTGAGAAAAGAAAGAGCCTTTTCTTCCTAGCATTTCTTTTTTTTTTTTTTTGGTTCACTGAGCTTCAGTTTTTGCTTGTTTGAAGAAAAAAAAAAAACCACAAAAAATTATCAATGGAGGACAGAGCTGTAGACTAAACATCCGCGGAGTTCAAGATCAGCTTAAGAAAACAGCAGAGTGCATGTGATGCAATGTGGTGAAAGCCGTCAGGTGTTATTTGTGGTAGTGTTCTCTTGACTCCGTTTTCGCTTTAATGTGGCGCTCTGTGATATCTTCAGCATCAGCCTGAACCAGAGGCCTGTGTAAACAGCTGCAGGCCAGGACCTCCCTCTGTATCCCAGTCAGTAGATGCTCTTGTCTTTGACGCTCTTCCTGTTTAGGCTCCATCAACGTCTCTCCATCATGTTCAGCTCAGACAGACTCACTGTCCCGGACTATGTCAGCCGGCTGCAGAGAGGGAGGAGCGGCTCCGGCTGCGAGCCCAAGCCGGTCTCCCCGGGCCTCAGCGCCGACGTCCAGGCCGTCCTCAAGGACTCCCTCCCTGCCCTGCGCGAAGCCATCAGGAACCTCAAGGCAGCCAAGGAAAACTCTGATTCAGACGAAACCCGCAGGGCCGTGGCGGAGATTTATCAGCTGGTGGAGGAAGCCTGGGTGCTCCCCACTGTGGGGCGTCAGGTGGCCGAGGAGATCTGCAACAGGATCCGGCTGGATGGAGGCCTGGAGCTGCTGCTTCAGCTGCAGCAGACATCAGCTGTGGAGATCATCTATGAGTCTGCAAAGCTGCTGGAGCAGATCCTGATCTCAGAGAACAGGTACGGTCTCTGTGAGAGACTGAAAAGGAAGTTTAACCCAACAATTCACACTTACACTGTCAGAACAGTTTTTGATACTGTTAATTAATAATACAGAATAAAATCTTGAGATTATGCTGACTCGTTTTAATATGCTTATTTTGCTCAAAGTCTAAGAACTAAACTGAAAGTCAAACATTTCAGTGTTTATCTAGAGTCCCCAAAGTGATCCTCGAGGGCCGGCATCCTGTATGTTTTAGTCCTCTCCCTGATGGTAGCAACAACCTTTGCAGCATGTCATTGTTCTTCTTAGGCCTTCTAATGAGCCATCATTTGATCCAGGTGTGGTTAAACCAGGGAGAAAACTAAAACATGCAGGATGCCGGCCCTCCAGGACCCACTTTGGGAACCACTGATCGAGACGTTGTATTTTTCCGGGCATTGATTTGGTTTGTAACCATAGTTCAGATCTATTGAATAGGTTGAGGTCTGTGTTTTGTGTTAACCATTACAGAGTCTTAATGTAGTCTGCTTTATTCATTTAAATCCAGGTTTTAATCTGTGGTTGGGGTCATTGTCCTATTGTAGCATCCATGCATGTCCCAATTTCAACCATTAATCTGTGGTTTCAGGTATCCCCCTTCTTTAGTATACCACACATTTTATCACGTTTGTTTGCAAACTTCACCTTTTTCAATGTTTGTCGGCTCTAACCACTTTCACCAGAGTGCCATTGGATAGTCCCTTTGGGCAGCTGCTAGTACCAGTGCTTAAGGATGTTAATTTCTGATCCAGAGGCTTATTTTTTGATCAAGAAAAAAATAACTGATTTGACAACCAGTTAGCGCCTTCCCTCTTTTTATTGATCTGAGGTCCATGTTGGTGTTAACCTGGCTTAACATCAGTGGACAGTTACACTGGTGTTTCTGCAGTGTCCAGTTCATTTCAAGCCTGAGCGTTGGTGATTCCTAGGCTGTTCCTAAACATCACAACTAAATTTCTTTCATATAAATTTAACAGTTGGATTAGGTGGTTATTTCTTTGACACATATGTCTTGACGGGTTAATGTGAGACCTCAGCGTTATTGAACATGTGTACACTGTATCGTGGCTCAAACACATCATAAAAACCAAAAGTTTATATTACAGTAACGTCCATGATGAGTGGATGCAAACCTCTCATTGGAACTATATGTTTGGGAAAGGAAACATGGTTTACAATTAGATTTGACAACCAGTTAGCGCCTTCCCTCTTTTTATTGATCATTCTCTTATCCCTCTCTTGACAGGGACTATGTAGCACGCATTGGTCTGGGGGTCATCCTTAACCTGACTCGACAGCAGGACGATGCCCAGTTGGCTCGCAGCGTCTCTGGCATCCTGGAGCACATGTTCAAACACACCGAGGAGACGTCTGTCCAGCTCATCTCCAATGGCGCCTTGGACGCCCTCCTCTTCTGGTGCCGGGGCACGGACCCCACCGTGCTGCGTCACTGTGCCGTGGCGTTGGCTAACTGCGCAATGTATGGGGGCCACCGGTGTCAGCGCTTGATGATTGAGAAGCAGGCGGCAGAGTGGCTTTTCCCTCTGGCGTTTTCCAAAGAAGACGAGCTCATCCGCTTCCACGCCTGCCTGGCAGTGACGGTGTTGGCTGCGAACAGGGAGATCGAGAAAGAGGTGGTGAGGTCCGGAACACTGGAGCTGGTGGAGCCGTTCATCGCCTCTTTGGATCCGGATGACTTCGCCCGCTGCTTATTGGACAGTGCGGATTGCATGCAGGGAAAGACGGCATCTGACCTTCAGCACCTTTTGCCATTACTAGACGGCACAAGAGTGGAGGGGAAGTGTATTGCAGCCTTTTATCTCTGTGTTGAGACCAGTATCAAGTCCCGCCAGCGCAACACCAAGGTACAATCACTCCAGCTGACATAATCCTCAGATAATACCAGTGTGCGAGTCTAGTTTTTCTTTTTTACTACATACTTATTTTCTCCTTTTTAAGATATTCCAAGAGATCGGTGCAGTGCAGAGCCTTAAAAGAATCGTCATGTACTCCAGCAATGGGACGGCCTCCAGTCTCGCCAAGAGGGCCCTGAGTATGATGGGAGAGGAAGTCCCAAAGCGAATCTTGTCTTGTGTGCCCAACTGGAAGACCTGCGAGGTGCAGACATGGCTGCAGCAGGTTGGCTTCAGTGCCTTCAGCGACCGCTTTCAGGTAGGTCTAAGAAAAACCAAGAAGGACTTCAGATGAATACAGTTTCCTTCACTGGGAAAAGATAGTGACAAAATCTCCATTTCACAGCCTCTGGTCGTTCTATTTGACAGGCGCACCAACAGCAAAGTTTTTGTAAACAAAAATGGCAAGCAGGGTATTTTTTTCCTTGCATTTCAGGAGTATAAAATCCTTTGTGTCAGTATGTCACTCAAAACCGCAATGAAATACATGGAAGTCTGTTATTGCGGGATGACATAATAAGAAAGTGTTTATGTTTGTAAAGACACTTTAAACTCACCTTGAGCTTGTAAGTTCCTCTCTGTCCTGATGTGTCTTATAGGAGCTTCAGGTGGATGGAGATCTCCTGCTGAACATCACAGATGAAGATTTAAGCTCTGATCTCAACATGGCTGCAGGTCTCACCCGCAAGAGGCAAGAAGATCAGACCAGTTCTCAACACAAGCCTGATGTAAAATGTCACTGGTCTGAAACAAACAAATGCTTTGTATCTTCATCCAGGTTTCTGAGAGACTTGCGTGTGCTGAAGACCTACGCCGACTACTCCACATGTGACCCTAACAACATGGCTGACTGGTTGGCTGAGGTGGATCCCCGTTTTCGACAGTACACCTATGGCCTGGTCCAATCAGGAGTGGACCGCAACAACGTGGAGAACCTGACTGACCAGCAGCTGCAGCACGACTGCCACATTAATAACGGAGTCCATCGAGCGAAGATACTGTCCGCCGCCAGCAGGCCGTTAAAGCCGAGCCACACAGACGCCCAGCCTCCAGGCCCTGATGTGTTCATCAGCTACCGTCGGACCACTGGCTCCCAACTGGCCAGGTATAGCCCGATAGGGAATTTCCAAAAAATGTTCTCCCACATTATTAGACAACACATCAATTTGTTTGTTTTCCTCATCCTCCAGCCTTCTGAAGGTGCACCTGCAAGTCAGAGGATACAGTGTTTTTATAGATGTGGAGAAGTTGGAGGCGGGTAAATTTGAAGACAAACTAATCCAGAGCGTACAGAGGGCACGCAACTTCATCCTGGTTATGTCCGCCAACGCGCTCGACAAGTGCATGGGCGACACCGCCATGAAGGACTGGGTGCATAAGGTCAGGAGGAACATACAGCTCAACATAAACGTAGAAACATTTTCTAACTGGTGTAGATATGTTTGAGCGTCTAATGCAAAATTTGTTGTTTTTGTTACTTGAGATGTTTCTGTGAGGTGCAGTTGTTACTCTATTTGAAGACAATAGACATTTGGAATTGTATATTCCTTAAGATTATTAAATGGTGTCTGTTGAATAATTAGTTTAAAAAGGATTTTCTTACTGTATTAGTCTGGCACTCCAACAGTAACTCAGGCTTCTGACCATGCAGCCATCATAGACTGCTTGTTTAATTTTGTCAAAGTCACTCTTTTTCCCTTATCATTTTATTCCACATTCTTATAACCAAAGTTGGGTCTTGCACCTTAAGGTTCCTCCTCCTGACATCTTGTATACACGAGTCGAAATAACAAATGTCTTATTTAAAACCAGGTTAATGTGATGCTGTTCTGTACATGCAAGTGATTTCACTCCTTTATGCATTTACACATTCAAAAGTAATATTTAAAGTGCTATTTATATTGCAGGAAATAGCCACGGCCCTGAGTGGTAAAAAGAACATTGTCCCCGTCACAGATAACTTCACGTGGCCTGACCCCACGTCTCTGCCAGAGGATATGAGAGCTATCCTCAACTTCAATGGCATTAAGTGAGTATTACTACACTTCCACTCAGGTAGCCTTACTATATCTTTTAAAACTGCTCACTCCAGGTTTTCTGTATGAATGAACCAGTTTGCTTGTGTTGCCCCTTGTCACAGATGGTCTCATGAATATCAGGAAGCTACAATTGAGAAAATCATCCGCTTTCTCAAAGGGCGCCACGACACAACTGACGCCCCAGACGAATCCAAAAGTCAGAAGAAGAAATAAGCCAATCCAAACACGACTATAAGACTGTTTGTGATGCCATCTTCCACATGCCTATTGAACAGCCTTCCCTGCTCTACCCGACAGCATGTGAAGTATGTGTTTAGCCCGCTTACACAAATCAGTGAGCAGATGAACTTATTCCTTGAACAATAAGACTTAAAAAGGGAACTCCGGACTGTGTGTAATTGAGTTCAAGTCGTTAATGTCATTCCTCACTAACTGCTGTATTGGTGTAATCACGTTCAGTATATGCCTTTTATATCTCAGGAAAATAAGCGATAGACCAACTGTCATCCAGCAACATCGTCATCAATAGGAATTTCTGAAGGCTCTACCAACCCTTCAGTCTTAGTCAAGGTTATTGTATATGCACTTATTCTTTCTGTATCATGTATCAATAGTAATAAATAAATCCAGATCTCTAATACGACTCGCCTGTTTTAGCTTTCTGTTCATTATTTTTCAGAAGCAACTTCAGGTGTTTTGATCTAAGCTGCAGGCATGACTTTGACAGTACACCTATGGCCTGGTCCAATCGGGAGTGGACCGCAACAACGTGGAGCCAATATTGTCTTGGTTAGCCAAGACAATATTAGAAACCCAAAAATAGGTGGAAAATGCATGTAGTGTTAAGCACAAGAATAGGCAGTTGTCAAATGTATTACAACTAAACTGTAAACCCTCTGCAATTTACAGCCTGAATTAACCTGTTCACATGGAGGGGAAAGGTGTTTTTCCTAGAGTTCATTTCATGACAGCAGTCGTCTGATGACTCAGTCAGGATGTTTTTATTGAGATAACTTATGTATTTCCTGTAAAATACCCAGAACAGTCAATCAGAGTTTACAGGCTAAGTGTGTTGCTCCATGAGTAGAAGATACTAATCTACTGTAACATTTTTTATTAGCACTATTTCTATGCACTTGTGGGCTTCACAATTAAAAGTGATCTTGTTTTCTGATCTTGCAGTAACTTTAACCTCTAGCGCCCCCTTTGTAAAAACAGGTGTATTAAATCTCTATGACATTTTTTGTCAGATAAATTTACATTTAATTTTTGATACTTTTACCCAAACAAAACACTTTTTTTATTTGTTTTGTTTACATCCTAAACAAGAAGGAAAAATTACAACTTTAGAAGAAGGAAAAATAAAACCATAGTGGGTCTAAAGGAAGATAAATAGTGCCTAGAAAAAACAACAACAAAAAAAACTCTTAAACCTGAAAAGCTTCACACTTCCCTTCAGGTTTGTCCAGGAGAGGATGTGGTTACCTGTGTGACTTCATAATTTCTTCAGAATGAACAAGAACATCCCAGGTCAACTCTGAAATGATAATTAGCTTTTAATGACCTCAACATAATTAAATTTGTGGCCAGGAGTATTTAGACCATAGATTTTTCATGTTCACTGTGATATGGCCACATTGGTATCAATGCCCCACATATTTTTAATATACTGGGTATCATGTGGATTAATTGTAAGTTTTATAGATCAATCGCTTCATTATATGTTATATCCAAATTATAGACATGCCCGGTGTCTAATATTCATAGTTCACAGTCCTTCTTAACCCTTATGAATGTCCAAATGGCAAAATTAACATGGTGGTCAAGCTTTAAATGGAACATGCAAAAACACAGACTGTAAGCAACTGGGATGGACAGATGGATAAACAAACTGATTGATAAATGAAAAATGAATGAACAGATAAAAGCTTTAAACAATGGGATACAGAAAAAAAATCTCCAGAAGTAAAAACATTTTTACATATGATACTCTATTTTCTTTTTCTATTCTTATCCAGACCCTGACTTCCATACTTCCACTTTTCCAGACAACATTAAAAAGCTGTGTATTTATATTTTTTTATTAGTTTTTCTAACCCCCCCCCAAAAAAAAAACAAAACAAAAAACAAATAAACAAACAACAAAATATACCGTCAACCAGATAAATTCATCAAACACATTGAAGCTTCCAACTTGTTATGGAAGTTTGACTAAATGGACCAAAAATAGCAGAAATGTGAAAATTACTTCTGAGCAAATAAATGATTAAAAGTTAAATATTTTCATCAGACAGTTTACTTTTCATCCAAGTCCAAAATCAAAATCTGGTGTATCATTATGATAGCATATAAAAACACAGAAATAGTAAATGTATAGCTCTTTATCTTTTCCAGAGGACTCCAAAGTGCTTCATACAACATTCAGTCTTTCACACATTCACATGTTGATGGTACTAAGCTACATTGTAGCCACAGCAGTCTGACGGAGGTGAGGCCACCGTTCAACTGGGTTCTCTGACCACAACTATCAGGAAAGGCGGGTGAAGTGTCGAACCAGTGACAGGGGTTTGAACCAGCAACCCACATGTTACACGACAGACTACCTCCTCCTGAGCCACCGTCACACAAACACATTTACTTTTGGAGTTTTTCATCTGCTGTGCATTATCTTCTTTGATAGGTTACTGTCAGCATAAAAACATTACCAACACAACACTCAAGCTTACTGTTGTTCATTGGCTTAGAAATGTCAAACTTAAAATTCAAAACAAACAATCATATGAATACATTGTTCTTTTTTTCTTCATAGCTTTTGGCAAAGTGCTTTTTAATGTGACAAAACGTCACATGTTAAAACTATCAACAAGGATTCAAGTAAAAAAATCATTTGCTTATAGCACATAAGAAGGGTTTCCTGATCTACAACTAGTTTAAATTCAATTTAAAAAATACTTTACTTATCCCAAAATGGACAAAAAAAAATGAATTAAATATTACATAATATTTTTTTTTCTTTTGCAAAATTTCCAAATTTTTTTCTAAAAGACAGATTTAACTGGCACAGTCAAAGCTGCCTCCATTTTCGATATATAATCAGAAATAAAAGGTGATTTGAACGTTGCTATTATTGAACAACACTGTGCTTCCGTAGCTAGCTGTTGTAGTCAATAATTCACACTGAAACATTATGCACGTAGAGTGCTACACAAAAACATTTCAAATCAATGTATAAAATATTCATGTCCCTGAACATCTTGATTAAATGATGTGAGACCTTTACCTCTTCGTGTGAAGCCCACATGGTTGCTTCTTCACTTTTTGGTCTCGACGTTTTAGTGTCACTTCGGGGGAAGAATCCCTTTGCAGAATAGCAGCCTTCATGTTTGACAGGATCCCAGTTTCTAACAGCATCACAGGCAAGATGAGTACTGAATCTCCACAAATGGGTCCCATCAGGACCGGCTCTGAACACTCAGGATGCAGAGTCCCTGTGTTCCCTCCTCTGGTCGAAACACTGTAGAGCGCTACAGAGACAGACACATATGTTGATTTTTGATTTGAAACGGTTGGTAGCCAAAAAACCCCTAGAAATACAGAGAAAATACAAGGTTCCTATACAACCGCTGTGCCAAAATTCAATACAGTATAATGGCATGGATAACAAAGGGATAATGTGGAAAAAGATGCAGCATCATCCAACGATTTGCATGATGCTCAAATCGTTGGATGTAGGAATAACATGAAAACAGATGACTGCAGACCAGGAACCCTGCAGTAAAAACAGAAAACTCACCCAATTATTGCAGCAGGAATGAGGAGGACGATGGCAGCAAATAGGAATGAGAAGCCCTTCATGAAATGCAGAGTGGCTGGATAGAGGGAGTTAAAGAGGCTGCTGCCCACGAGAAAACACAAGCTCTCCACACAGGCAACGCAGGCGAACAGGGCCCCTGAGAGACAGAAAACACACACAAGAGTTTATTAATAGAAACCAACGTGAAGCACCTGAATGCCGTCTCTACTACTCAACCTCTTATCTCTCAGAGCGAGCTCTCAGGCCCCGATGAGGGTTAAACATCTGTAAAACTAAAACACCACATGCAGAGGACCAGAAGCTCGCTGACCTTGTTCTGATGGGTCAACCAACTTGGAGAGCTTTGACCTGAGGACGGGAGTGGAAGCCATGAAGAGGAAACACAGGCCGTAACCTGGACAGAGAAACCACATGCAAGATCATCTTCAGCTTCAGTCAAGTTTCAGCTCGTTGGTAAAGTTGATAATTGTGGCCAAGAGCAGTTTGAGAGACTTCAGAATAGAAATTGTTTCCTTTTTAAGGAATATGCTCTCGTGAGTCATTAAAAAAAAAAAAAAGAAAAAAAAAAAAGCCAAAAACGAAGAGCAAGAGAGTCAAGAAATATCCTGGAAATATGAGCATGTCAGCAGCAGCCTCCATACCCAGTGGTGCTGAGTTGATTTTTATCGGACATCTTTAAGGCTATGAAAAGTTTAAGTCCTGAATAGAAATGTATGAAATGTATGAAAATTTGCCTCAATACCGACATCTGATATTAACATTGTTGTTACGGCCGATAACCAAATACACCAAATGTAGACAGTGGTGTATAAAACTGTGAACAGATCGAAATATTTCGACTTTGAATTTTCCAGGATCGGCCACCATAATCTATAAAACCTCTGAGTTACCACACACTCCAAGCCTTAGTTCTTCAATATGAGGAACCTCTACGAATTCCTGCAGCCAGGCGACTAATTGAGGAGTCGGGTCGGAAAAACTGTTTTTCTTTTTTTCAAATTTAAACCCTCCAAAATTAACTCAGTGACACATATTTTGAGAAACTGCTCACGACTTTCTGAAGCTTCTCACCTGTGAACATAAGCTGGGTGGTATGCGCCACAGAGAAGACCACCAGCCCAGTAATGTTGGACACCAGGCCCACCAGAGCCACCCAGGAGTCCTGCAGGCAGCGCTGCATGACCTTCAGCCCCAGCAGGCTGCTCAGGTATGCCAGGTTCAGAGCGGCCGACCCGTAGCCGATCAGAGCCGAGTCCCAGCACAGCGGGGAGCTCAGCTCGTACAGCACGTACAGCTCCCTGGTGCCGAAGTGAACGGCCACCACCAGGAAGAAGCAGAGCGTGTAGAGCCACAGCTTGCCCCTGTGAAGCGGCTCTCCGCCGCCGCCTGCGCCGCTGATGCCTCCTGTGGAGTACAGGCGCCAGACGGCTTTGTAGTGGCGAGCTGAGAGGAGCCTGGCGCTCGGGTCCGGACGGACGGACTCTCGGATGAACAGGTAGGCGTAGAGAGCTGAGGCCAAGTTGGTGGCCAGGACCAGCCAGAACGGGTTGATGTAACTGGGGAAAAAAGAAAAAAAAAAAAACAACAACATTGTTTATAGAGGTGATTTTTGTTTGTTTGTTTTTACAGCAGAAATGCACACAGCAAACATTTCTCACCAGTTTTCTGCAGGTGCTAATGGGGGGTGGGGGGGTGAAGCATTTTACTGAGGATCATTTGTTCTTACAGTTCTCAACACACACAGAAGCACAACCAGAGGCGGACTCAGAGCTCAAGACAAATAAATCAGTCACCGGTGAAGATAATAGTGAATACGTGGTATTACGCTATTTAATTAAAGCATATATTAGGGCTGGACAATGTGACTGAAAAACGTATCACGATATAAGCGTTTCACATCAGTGGATGGCGATAATTTTGTTTCAAATATCAGAAATACGGCTGATATCACGTTTGATGTGGCTTCCTTGTTTTATGTTGATTCCATTCTTGGAAATCTGAGTAGCATAGAAAACGACCCATTTTCGCATTTCATGCCCCTTTCAGCTGTTTACAGAAAATGAAAGTAGGCATTCAAGTTCACTTCCAGTTCCCGCTGTTTTTACTCAGTATATAATCATTAGTTAGATCTTGAAATTAGTTGTGTTTTCTGAGGATAATATCACAACAACCACAAATTAAACTCATAGTAATCTGGTATTTTCTTGGGGGTGCGACGACTTTTCCAGGAGGGAACCATTGTAACCGTTGTTTCTCACCCTTGTGCCCGGCGCCACTGGCCTCCTATGATGCTGGCCAGCATCCCTGAAATGCCCAGACAAGCTTCCAGAACCGCCACCCTGAAGGTGCGGGACCTCTTGTCGCTGATGTCCGCCACGTAGCTAAAGCAGCCGGCCAGAACGGCGTTGAAATCCCCCGAGAGGCCACTGAGCAGCCGGCCCACCAGAAAGCAGACCACAGGCAGCTTGAGGTACATCACCACCAGGTAGACCACGGCCTGCAGCGCCAGGCCGAAGTTGGGGAGGATGAGGACGGTTCTGCGGCCTGCTACATCGCTCCACGAGCCCAGGAGAGGGACAATCACGAGCCCGACTGAAAACCCCCCGAGGCTGATGTACAGGTTCCAGTGAGCTGTCAGAGTTTCAACTTCCTGAACAACAACAGAAACAAATCAGTGAACAGGATGAAATCTTCCTGCTATTTAGTGCAACATGATTTTTTTTAAATTTTTTTCTTTATTAATCTAATTTAATGCTACAATATTCTGTTTCCTGAGTGAAATGGATGTACTTTTCACTTTTTGTGCATGCTCAGCAAATTCCTCTCAGTTGCAACATGTGATGCTGTTCCTGTTTTCTGAGCGGCTTTTGCAGCACTCACTTTAACTCTCCAGTTACATATGCTCAAAAGTAATAAACTGATATTCACAAATACTGATTATATAAACTATTTTGTAACTTTGCATTTTATTTTAAAGTTGTAATTATTTGTTTACCTTTTCTTTTTCCCTTTTTTTTTTTTTTACATTTGATAAGCCAGTCAAATACGATTTTGTCCCTTTTCATTGAATGCATCAAGTCTGAAAACTTCCTCTTTTTTGTCACTAAACACAGAAAGACAAACGTTAAGTCATTTTGTGCACTTTGTCTTATGAGTTTAGAAAAAAATTAACCACAATCTCTATGGAAGGATTCCTCAGGACATCTTGCATTTATTTAGTGGTCAATTTTTGTTGCATATTTTATTCTTAAATTAAAAAGACATTAACAAAAAAGAGTTTGTATGTGTGGTAATCCTTTGGAAACAAACAGGTTTGAGCTCAGATCAAACAGTATTTGTCAGTGATATTGAGTACTAAATTAATATTTGAAATCTGAAAATACAGTATTTTGTTTTTCTACACTTAGTCCATTTGTGGAGATTCAGTTATGGCTTTTCAACTGAAAATTCAAGACTGTTTTGCATCTATTTATGAAGACATAACTCCTGCATGCTGAATTTTATTGTAAGTGAAGATTTCATGCTACTTAATAGCAGTAAGCAACATTAAAAAAAAAACTTATTTGAAGCATGATTTTTTTTGGAATCTTATGATAATTACACGTTTATAAAATATTTACAGTGTTAATAATATTAATTTACTGACAGTAGACTTTACACCTCACTCCCTTTATATCTAAATACACCACATTTTACACACAATATGAAGTTTGATAAAGTTTTTTTTATTATTTATTTGAAACTAAAGAGTTATTTTGCTTTCTTTTTCATACCTATGTGTGAACCTACAGATCCCAAAGCATCAGTACTAGTGGTAAATGCGTAAAGTTTTCAGCTGGTGACCTTTTGCAGCGGGTCCGGGTCCACTGAGCTGTTGCTGCACTCTGACCTCCTGGAGCCATTGTAGCCGAGGTCCTCGCTAATTCGGTCCCACAGGTACTGCGTGGTCAGAGGGGCCTGGAGAGCCAGGGAGAATATGGAGAGGAAAAGCACCGGCTCCACGGACACCGGGACAGGGCACCGGCACGACGGCGGCACAGAGGTGGTTGCAGTCGGTAAACCTGCTTCGTCTTTGCGGTCCTCAGAATCGGACAGCTGGTCATCCGTTGACGAGGCGCTGAGGAGGTCTTCGGGTAGGATCGCTGCCGTGTCCGGCTCGTCCATGTCGAACCTACTGCGTTTAAGTTTTATGCTGTAAAAAACACTTTTTGCAGAGTTGAACCATGAAGTTACTGCGGTGACATAACTAGCATAAGGAGCTAACGTCCAACTGCCTGGAGCTAAAGGAGCTAACGTTCAATTTTATTCCTCATAATAGGAATAGATGCGTTAGAAGTGGGGAGTTAGCTCCCTCTAGTGTAGGAATACGGTCACTACATCAAGGAAAATAGAGTAAAAAAATAAAATAAAATAAAAAGCTTCTGTAGCATTATGATGGTATAAGCAAGGAACTGGTACAAGTACAATACAGGGCAATCTTTAACAACAACAACAAAAAAACCTGTTAGAGGCTATGAAAGACTTTGAGTAAGATAAGCCTAAATATACAGTCAGAGCTTTGTGGCAAATTTGAAAAATGACGTTCAGATCCATCCATCAAGTCCATGCAGGCAGACTGATC